GTGTCCTACCCAATGTATCTATAGCCCCAGAAATGTCTCTCTTCTGTCCTATTCTCTTTCTCTTTCCTGCTGGCATCCCTCTTGGAGTGGTGCTAGACACACTTCCTTCTCCTCCAACTCCTCACACTCCTCCCACGCGCCTAAACCATCTTCCCAGTTCCTTGGATATCTGCTTCCTTCAGCTCCTCCTTGCTCCAGCAGTACATCCTTACATCCCGTCTTACATTATGTCTTGATCTATTTCATCAACAATATTGAGGGTCTGGATGTTAATCTGTTCTCTGTTCTTCTCTGCGCAAGCAATCATACTCACACCGGAACTGTACATTGCAGCTTCATCTCTTGTAACTTAAAATCTAAGTGCTTCTTAGATTCTCTCTTGCTTCTTCAAGGCTGTCACAATTACTGCACTTTCTGCCTACCGTGACATGTTGTGCACTGGTTTCCCAGCACATCTGCCTGAGCAAAATACATCAACTACATCAATTTACATAAATTTCCCTGGGATTAACAAAGTATTATCTATCTATCTAAAATACCTGTCCTCCATGCTCTTCACTTCAGAAGCTCTACTTTTACAAATACCCCAGGTCGTTTTCGATTCTGGCCACAGTGTGCCTTCAGCAGTAGAACCATCACCTCCTTTACAAAATGTTAAATTCCAGCTTCTATTGCTGTTTGTTTGCTGGATTACTCTTGCACTCTTTAACCTGTTTTATTTGTAATTCATACTCCCACACTTCCCTGCACTCAACCTCAACCTTCCTCATTTGTTACCCACCATGTCTTCCCTGTCCCTAACCATCATCTTTTTTCCATTTTGTAGGATGCCCAATGTTTCTTTATCTATCCAGTGGATAATCAAAGCAGTATCATCTTTACTCATTTGGATGCAGAGACTCCTCATCATTTCCTCCACACATGCAAGTATCCTAGGGACACACATGCTCTATCTACATTCCCTTAGCTCCCAGCTTCTACTTGAACTGAGTCAGCTCCACCTAAAGGAGTTTTCTCAGTGTTGCACTATTGATCATGCCTTCATCGATGCTGGAAATCCATGCATGTGTGGGGTGTGTTGACAAAATAAAGACTATTTCACAGTTTTCCATATCCCACAGGGAAAAAAGCTTGCTGCCCCAAGCCACAAAGATTCTCTCACATCCCCTTTTGAATTTCTCAGCAGTGTTTGAGAACTATATTTTATCATCATTGTTGCTCTTTTTAGGGTTCCACATGGAAAAGAAATCACTCTTCATTCACATCACATAAATAAGGATATTGTAAAAACAAGGACACTCGAAATCCCTATGCATTAAAAAGAACCTTCTAAGGGAATTTGCAGTTGGAGGTACTCTTATCCATGATTACACACCCACAATATAGATGCACGCTCTAATTTCCTGACAGTTCAAGCCAGGTGTTCAATGAATTTTGTTTCATTTTAATTCTAAGTTCTACATTGGATGTTTAAGGTCCCACTTGGTTCTTTTAAGACAGACCTAACTCCTTTATCCCACAGCCAGGTGGTCGGCCTTCAAAAAAGCATCTTACGGTTAAATCTTCAATACGCATTTCTAAATGCATTTTTTTTATTGGATGGTGTTGTTCCTTATGAAATTTCATTTTAGAACACTGATTCTCTCAGTTCACTGAATTGTTATTTGGTTTTTTTAAATAAAACTAGTAAAAATGAATTGTTCAGAGAAGAGTTGGTGAATTGTATATTACGGAAGTTCAAAGGTTTACTGTGAGACAGTGATGAATCAGAATGTGTTTGGAAATGTCTTTCATCTCCTGGGTCAGAAAAATGGTTAGAAGTCGTGTGAACCGAGGAAATAGATCGTGCACATTCCTTGAATTTCCATCTGGAGACTGTTTGTGACAAAGCTCATTTTTCAATGTCACAGTGTTCACATATTCACTGCATAGTTTTACTGTTGTCTAAAATAACACTGACTTTTTGCGCAATATCAAATTATCAAGTTACTGTAGAAACATGGTTTTCTGAATATTTGTGCGAGATAATACATACTATATGTACTGTTTACTGAAATACCTCAGCTGTAGTGATATCTAAAATTATCATTAAGTTTCTAGGTATAGTATGTAAAATCTTAAATCTGCTTCGTAAATAATAAATGGCATGCCGTTGTTCCTGGTGATAGCTGGAGACTGTCAGCGATTGAGCATGATTCGCATTTAGTATACTTTTATCTTTACTGTATGCATTTAGATTCTTGAAACAAATATCTTTCACAACCTTATCTCTTATAACAAATTTTGTCACACAACCATACTGTATATTTGATGTTTCTTAAAGATCTACAAGGTTTTAATACAGGTTTGCATTCTCTGAGCTTATGCCTATACTATTATTTTCTTTATGTGAGTTTTTCATTTTCCAGTCTTTTCAGTGCTATTCTACATCTAATTTCAATTAATACCTTATTCCATGTTTCAATCCATTATCAAAAAGCAACTTATTTTTAGTCCTTCAAAGGGCACACACTAATACAGTATATGCAAGTTCACAAAAGACAATTTTTTTACCAAAATATTCACACAAAAGCTATCAAATTCTGCTTGTCAGAAAGCTCCAAGAATTTTGTGCCCCCCTAAAATCTCTTCTGTATATACTGTACTAAATCAAATAATTTTATATTTCTTCTCTCAGCAAGCAATACTACAGAATCTATACAACGGACACAAAGTTGAACAAAGAAACTAACACAGACAATAAATTCAGTCAATTCAATGCTCATTCAATCTGAAATGAAATATTCAGTTTTCAAATATTGTTCTTTTGCACACTTTTAAGGAACAGCAGGACTGCCAAAACAAAACATCTGCTGCCACATTTTGTGGAGAAAGTCAAATCACTCCAACCATCAATGCAAGCAGCAAGTGCTAAAATGTATATTCTGCTTGCTTTTGCAATGCTGTTTCTTGGATTGCATTTCCATTATTTCAGAAACAAACTGCTTCAAAAGCCATGGTGCAGTATTTTGCTCTAGAGGCTTGGCTTTATGATACTAGTCAGAGAGTCATATTTTCAACATAATCATACAGCTTACATGTATAAATGGTGAATATTCTAAATCATATTGAGTAGCAGATAATTGATAATTATAGATATTGTTTTATAGCATAAATGCAGTTAACACATAATAAATGTTTGTTTAAAGCTATGACTGAAACAGTGTAATGTGTGGGTTATGTCAGTTTTAGCACGTTATATTGTAATATGTGTTAATCAAATTTTCAGTTTCAACCAGCGAAGCATCACCAGACTAGAGGCTCCTAAATGGTTCTGCTATTAAAAATCTCTACCTGGAGTGCAGAGTAAGTCCTGCAGGCTGGTGATCACAGGTGTGAGCCTGCCCTGTGCCTCTCCTCTGCTGACCATGAATCTGTCTGAGGCACAGAGACTGGGCTGGGGAAAGGCACACATGCTTCTATATTATCATTCAACAGCCAATCTACTGTATGCAGGTGTTGATTTGTGCTTGAAGGCTTTGTGTGCCTCCCAGTTAGGAAGTCAAATCCTCTGTTTCCATTCTATGCCTGTACTCAGCTACTGTAGGTTCATAACTAAAATTAGAATGTAGAGTTGCCCTCCATTGTTTTAATTAGTTACTAAAAGGTCTAAAACAGATAAAAACAGGAGTGATAATGCCAAAACAATAAATGTTTTTTCTATGGGTTGTAGACATACAGTAGGTCAGATTATATTGTTATACTGTATTTATTTTGGAATTACTTTTTCACAGTCCTTACACTCTCGATTTACAGTATACTAAAAGTTGTTAGTTTCAGATATGTAAATAAGAACTACTTCTGACATTATACAAAAGAATTACTCTCACACAATTCCTTTGCTTCAAAATTGCAGATGAATATGAGTATAACTAGATGTCTGAAAAGAACAAGGCACTTGGTTTTAGACAAGTGGTCTCTGGTTTCCTTTGAGAAAAGCGGTTTGAATGACACTTGACTTCTCCATCTTGGGCAAATCACAGAAAAGACATAACTAGCAATTTCAAATAAAAAAAAGTTTAAAAGCAAAGTTTTAGTTTGTCATTATGTGAAAGGGATGAGCATTCAGGCATCTCAAAGTAACTGTTATAAGAATGTAAAGGTTTCTACATGCAACTTGTAAAAGAATTGTTTATTGAGAACCACATGTGGTTTTTCACTTTATTCCCCAAACTGTTGTGTGTTATAGGCTGGGTAGGTGAGCGAATTATTTGACTGCCATTGGAAATGTTTACAGACTTTATTATGAACTTACACTTAAAATTGTAAGACTAAACTAAATACATTTTCTCTAATTTTTAAGACTCCACAGGTAAGATTTTAATTTGAATTGGGCATTTTCTACAGATTGCTTAAAGTTATTGAAATCATTTTAAAATAATTGAATAACACGAAATCATCTGAACCCCTCACCAACTATTATGAAATAAAGAACATAAGAAGGTTAGAAATGAGAGAAGGCCATTTGGCCTATGTACAGTAGCACATTTTTTGCTAGTAACTGATTGAAGCAAGGATCATACAGTATCTAGTTGTTTCTTAAAAGAAGCCAGGGTATCAATTTCAACAACCTGGAAGGAGTCCCACAACCATTATACGAAGGTGCCTCCCAGGATCAATAATAGCCATTTCTCAAAACACATGCCCAGTGTGGTCCATAATTCACCAAGTATCGTTTTGCTAACCCCATCCTGCAAATCCTGAGCACTGACTCAGTCAGGCTTCTTCCTATAGTGAGTGTTATGATCTCAATTGCAGTAGCTGTGTTTATTCTTGTTATAGTACTCATGGATCCTTGCAGTGGAGAGTTCTAAGAGTCACGACAATTCAGGACCCCTTGGGTTTTTAGCTTGCATTAAAAACAAATGTGGATGACATTCATAGTTTCATTCATAAAAATACTGTGTACTTAAAGAACATGGTAGCTTCACTCGAAATGTTCTCGTCTTCAATTTTTACAGAAGGCAAAGAAGTGAAGGTTGGAGAATATAATGCAATAGCTGATGTTCTAGAACTCATCAACAACACCATCAGGTTTCAAGGTAAGGGACAGCAGAACCTGAAAATAGTACTTTGTCTCCGAGAGGAAGCAGAAAAGCTTTAAAAGGGTCAAGAGTAATGCATTTCAGTTGTAAGTGCAATTTAAGGCTAAATGGTCAATTCTGTTTTAATCAGGTTTTCAACATACCTGAGGAGCTAAAATGTTATTGTTACATACATTTAATCCTAAGCATTGTGAGAAATCAGATATTCCTTTATTTTGTTTAAAATCAGAAAGAAGGGGAGTAATTTTCTCATTGCTTAATCAGTTTGTGCTCATCCAGAGCACATGCTGACCCCTATGGTCCAGATGGTAGTGTTTTCAAATTATTACAAAAAAATGTTCACATTAAAAGAACAATAATAACATAAACTTATTTTTGATCTGCACAAGGCCTTTTTGACTTGGAGTGAACCTAACAGTTTTCTTTTGTTTCCAAGTGCCTACACAGTTCACAGTTATGCTCTTCTGTTTCTGCAGGAGTGGAGCCACCCAAAGACCGGACATTTGTCCGACTCCAGAGGAGGCACATAAACCTGCCTCTTTACAGCATCCTATCAGCGATCACCATCCTGGGCATGTTCATGGCCAGCGCTTTTCTTTTCTTTAACATCAAGAATCGCAACCAGAAGTAAGACACTTCCTGATCTTCTCCCCTGCTCCCATTGGTGTGCAATTGAGCTGGGGCCTTAATGGCCAACTGCACAGCTGAGATATTTGTGGCCGCCAAAAAAAGGACATTTTTGGCCTCTGTGAAATGTGCTAAGGAAGGAAATTATAGTCAATTATTGCTGTTCAGGCATTTGGATTAAGAGATAATTATCAACGATAGTCAGATCTGGACACAGATTGAGCTGTGTCTCTTCAAATGGTGTGTCTCATACATTGTTTAAACCAGGTGTATGTCAGGTATAAGGAACTAACTGTTATGGAATAAATTGCTCAACATTACCAACATTACCAAGGACTTGTAATTTTTCAAAGTCTTCTGTGAGCTAGAAGAAGACAATTACCTAAACAAGCAAAGACAACATAAGTGATTTCCACCCTATATCAAACTTGCCTTTTTTGAGAAAAGTTTAGGAAGTGCTGTTGCAATAAAATCGAACAATCGCCTCACCTCTAGAACCAGTTTTACATGTTTTCCCCTAAAGGAAAATTCATAAGAAATATCTTTAAAGCTGTCCTTGAGTTGGGCTTTTTTTGCACAATAAAATCATATCTAGCATGAACTGTCTGTTAGGCACCCTCAAGGGAAAGACCACAGAAACAGTGATTTGAGATGGGTGGAAAACATACTTGTTTAACTGTGATGTAGGTCTTCCCTTTACTCAACCGAGTGTCAAACCTTCTTCGGTATTGTCTTTTTAAAGGAATTCCACTTGGAATTTCTTCCCCTTGGGAAGCCCTGTCTCACTCCAAAGAAGCTAAAGCATGAATGATGAGAAATTCTCTTGATGAGAAAATGCCTCAAACTATCCCTGTAATAGCAATCTACACAGGATGTACTGTACTGTACTGTACTGTAGCTGCAGCTGATGGAGAAACGCCTTTGAGAGCTATGAAAGCTTCGAGAGAAGTCTAATGACTCTCCCCTCCTTGCAGGGTGAAGGTTGCTCTCATCTTGGAAGACCCCTCATTTCAGAGCCACTGGATGAAATATTGAAGTTATTAGGTGGCCTTGTTCTTTGATCAAGCTATTTAGAGAATCCCGCCTGACTTGTATAAATGGGTCAGGCTGGCTTCTCATTCATTAATTATACTGAAAATGCATCTCATTACATCCACAGGAATATCAGATCAATTTGGTTCTAGTAAATTCCCCATATGCCATATGCTTCTGTCTCCACAGGCTAATAAAGATGTCCAGTCCATACATGAACAACCTGATTATCCTTGGAGGGATGCTGTCTTATGCCTCTATATTTCTCTTTGGTCTTGATGGGTCCTTTGTCTCTGACAAAGTATTTGAAACCCTGTGCACAGTAAGTTTCCACTACAGTAAACATAAAATGGCCTTTCTTTGCATGTCTTTGGGAGGTGGGTGGGAATCAGAGTACCTGTGATACCACGGGAAAACAGAAAGAACATATACTGTAGTATAAATTAGGTGAAAAAGACTGCAAACATGCACATAAAAGTTACAACTTTTTACTTTGTTTTTTTTCTTTAAAAACCACATGAATCTACAGTATGTAGGCAAAGAAGGTACACTATTTGTGGTACAGAGAAAAAGAATGACTAAATAGCGATAGCCTAATTTACTGTATCTGTTCCCATGCTGTGCAAGTTACCAGGGAAAATCAATCAACAAAGACTACAGGTCCTGAAGGCCATGATCACAAATCCCTACAAATATTGATATAAAATAGCCAACATTTTGAAATTCTGCATTGACTCTTACACATGTTCAGTATTAGATTCCTGTGAGCACATGTAAGGCAGTTAATATTTACTTTTTAATATTTTTAGAGGTCTGCAGTCCCTAAAGTTTCATCACTAACTTATAATGGCCAATTAGTAAAGACCAGGAAACAGAGCAATATAGACAAATGCAGTGATCAATTAATCCAAATAGTCATTAAGAGTCTAGGAAAAAATGAAAACCAGAAGACTCAGCTGCCTCCAGGAACAGGAATTAATTTCAGTGTCTTCATGTATTCTGATGTGAAAAGCTCTGCATTTCAAAGATACCAGAAATGTATTTGTCAGTGTTTCATAAGTTTCCAGTTATGGCAATTCTAAAGTTGCATTTTTCCAGCCTTCTCTTTTTGTTTTTCCTTACAGAAGGGCAATTTTGCTGATTTCTTTCAACAGGATTTGCATTCTTATCATTAACCTTACAACCAAACAAAACACAGTTTCACGTTTTTAAGGTCAATATTAAAGGTTTTGTAGATGTTTGGAGGAAGATGTACGTGCTCCCTAAACACATAAAATTGTATTGTAAATGCAAACTGAATGCAGGCTATTAGCAACAGTTGTTTATTAAGCTATTTGTGCACAGTTGTTAGAAGGTTGACACCACTATTATTTTCTCTATTCACTGTTAAAAATGAACTGGGGCTTCTCTTGAGCTCTATATCCCTATGTCTTACAGAGTGTATTTCAGGATTTTGGCTGACCTTTCTATCATAACACTTTAACTTTGAATTATATTGGGCAACAGAAGTGTTTAGCAAGTACATTTTTTCATCACTATTTTATGTAATGAAAAATGAGGACAGGGCCTCACCACACATTTTATTCATTGCACATATTAGAGATATAAACTGTACAATGGGGACATGCTCTATCTGTTTAAATAGGTAGTATGTGTAATACTGTACTGTACATGTGATACAAGAGAATATTTCATTCTGACAGAGTGTTATATACTATACAGTATTCAGCCCATTTTACAGACTTGTCTATATTCAGTTCTTCAAAAACTACAAATGTAAAATTATAGTGCATTTAAATACATCTTGATAAACTTTCCCTTTTTCCTTTTACTGTACTTGTGACACTATTTTATTTGTGTCCTGCTTTTCAAATTGTCATGTCTAGGTATTGTAATTAAAGTATGTGAATATGGGGGAAAAAATGAATAACATTTTGCTTTTGGAATAAGAAAACAGGGCATGAAGTGAATCTCACTGGATTTGGTCTTTCCTGAGAAGAATAAAGCCTCATTAAAGCATTGAATTTCAGTGTGAATGTAGTGATGAATCCTTCCTCATGCAGGTCAGGACATGGATTCTTACGGTGGGATATACAACAGCATTTGGAGCTATGTTTGCAAAAACTTGGAGAGTCCATGCTATTTTTAAGAATGTGAAGATGAAGAAAAAGGTAAGAAAGGCACTTATGACTTCCTTACAAGAACATTATGATGATTATATTTGGTCTTTGGAATGGATAAATGAATTAGTGGTTTCTTGAATGGTGTTAAAATTGATTTAAAATAGTAAAATAAGGGTATTGACACAAACAATTACCACAAGACGGGTAAATTGTCTCTGCAGTAAAGTCCCTGTGAGAGAATAATGGGAAACATCGATGGTGAAAACAAAATTTTAGTGTTCACTACTGTAACTTTCAAGGGTGTTCTCCTGAGGTCACTATATAATCAAAGAATACAGGTATGCTTTTCTCTTCCTTTTAAAGATTTCAACACCGCTACCCTCAAACAAAAAATTGGCTTACCTAAGGATCAGAAAAAAAAGTTGTAAACTGTTTAAGAGAACCTTTGTACTCTGCTTTATAGCAATTCCCACCAAATTTCAGTGCTCCCAAACTAATTTTGCTGGTTTACATTGTTTAATGAATTGGGGGCAGAAGACTTGTCACCATAAAATCCCATTTTGTATGTATAAAAATGGGCTGAGTGCCCTTTCAGAAAATTGGTTTTCCCATCAATAACCCTACTTAGGAATTATTAGACATTATCATACATCCAATACAGCTGCCAAAATGTATTTCAGTGGAACTTCCCTGATTGCTTTTGAAAGATGTGTGATGTATATCAGTCTTTAGTGTGTACTGTAGCTGCATTCTTTGTAAAAAACAGACTTCTTCCAAACACGCATACAATATGAAATAGATAACGCCCTTTCGTTAAGTTAAAGGCAATTTGATTAATGATTCAATTAAATTTTAATCTTTTGCTTCGGTCATGTAAAATACATGAATGCACATCAATTTAATTCATTCAAGCTTAATAGCATATTTCACTTTCCTGTCATGTTCCGAATGTCAAGTGAATCCTTTGACATTTAGTTAACATATTGATGTAGAAAGTTACTTTGGCTAACACTTTAATAGAATATTAAGTGTTAATATATTTATAAAATTATTATAGTAATCTTTATCACACTATTAAGAACACCTATATCAAAGTGTGCCCATGGTAATTTGTTTGCATTTTTTAATCTTAATACTATGTTAAATAATTAATTTGTTAAGATAAGGATAAACCTATTACATAAAAGCAGGATCACTGTTCAACCTTTACATTTGTATTTAGATGTATTATAAACACAAAATGCCCTCAAATTCTCTTTTTGAGTTCATGTGATTGAGCTACCTGTATGAGCAGTAGTGAAGTGTCAGTTTATGAGAAAATGGAGAAGGACACATTGTAGAATTATTCTACCAAGGGCTGTCGTAGAGGGACTTCATAAAGAGAGAAGGGGGGGATTTCCGCTAAGATGAGAAGATTCTGAACTGAAGGTGTATACCTTAACTGGGAAAGGCAGAGTTACTCTCCCAAATTCATACCATCGTTCCTATGTAATACGATATTTAAAACAACTGTCCATCTAACTTATTTTGACAGACCTAGGGGTTGTGGTGCAGTAGCAAATGATATATAATAGGCCTGTCACAGATAAACACATGTTAATACATGTTTCTTTTCTTCTTTGTGCAAAAGTGGTGCTTGAATTTATAGCACAGGAAAAATGAAAAGCCAAATAGAAACCTTACTCTTCTTTGATCTCCTACCTAAACTTCTTCACTGCCATCTCTATACTCACCAGGCTGCTAAGCTGCTTATCAGCTTCCCAAATAGTCTCTCTCCAAGACTCTACTCTAAAACATTTTATCAAAATGGAAACCCACACTCACTCAGACACTCTTCAGAAAATTTACAGTATATGTCCATTGAGCCATTTGTCAGCTGATCTCTTAGTTCTGACAACCAATGTCACGCAGTGCAATAGAGAACAAACTGGAAGCCTGTGCTTCCTAGTTTTTAATCATCACCAGAACAATTGCCTTCTTCCAACTGGTCAGGTGACAGAGGCCAGCAGGACCTTCTCCCACATCTTTCAGGGGAATGTAGTAGAGACAAGCTAGATCAAGTAGGTAGCTGCATCAATGTACATAGGCTGCAAAGTAAAGGTTAATTCCATGCTGAAAAGAAGAAAATAAACACAGCGTTTCAGCTGGAGTCTTCTTCGGGTGTGGTCTGCAAAGGAAGGGGTAGAGTCAGGGGAAATCACACACGAAGAAGACTCCACAGCCGAAACGTTGTGTTTCATTTCTTCTCTTTTCAGCATGGTAGAGACAAGCTGCGGTTTTGTCTAAACCTGCCATCCAGACAATTGTGTTGAGGTCAGCAAGCCAGTATTTTGGGGACAATGCAGTATAAAGATGGAAAGGAACAAGTAAAGGTTTCTTGATCAATCAATTTGTTGATTAGTCATTGCAGGAGCTACTACTACTGTGGCCACCTCTACAGTGGTGTTTAAATGTTTTACTTGTTTAAAATTATCAGCACATTGTAATCCAAAGCTTTTTTTAAAATAAAATATGGTATATATATTATTTTAGTAGTATATGTACTTTAATGCCAAAGTAATTTCTAAGCTTTGAGGTTTTTATTTCATTTATTGAGAGTAGCATTTTTCAATTCATCACAACCTTCTTTGCTTCCATTCAGAAATTGGCTCTGTGGTAAAGTCTTATTATTTCAGTGATTGTGTGAAAAAATGCTGGACCTTAATCTATTTACTCCTTAAGCATTTTTTGTTTTATTTTTAGAATTTAAAGCTCTAATAGTGTGTGGGTTACCACATGCAATGGGAGGTGTAATACAGTATCTAAGATGCTGCGAATTTATAATATAGTAGCTGGGTCAGAGCTATTTTTGCTGGCTTCTAGTACTGGCCCAGACAAAATGCTTTAGGGAATAGCATGTCATTGCTTCTGCCTGCAAACTGAGCCTTTGTTTTGAAGCTCTTGGAAATAAAAATGGAAAATGAGAAAAAGATTCCTTTGTTAGAATCTCCAAGTGGATTATATAATGACTAAAAGGCTAGATTGATTTTGAGGCTGAGTATTGGTAACATATACCATATAAGGACAGGATGTGGAAGATGTCCTTGTAATTCAAAGAGGTGGGAGGCAGAGCATAACTTTTGCAGTGTTATATCTCTCTGAGCTGCTATTACTCATCACTAAAAATTAGGTTGTTTCACTTGTCACCATGAAACAAATATTTTTGAAAACCCCACCATCTCTTATAAGCTTTAAAATACCATGCTTGACAGCCTGTTGGAGTATTTGATTAGTAATAAAACCAAATGAACGACGTGACTGTTCCTTTGAATATCTAAATCAGAGGTCTTAATTGCTTTGGCACTCCTTCAAAGAGAATTAAGGTCATTAACCTCAATGCTATGGTCACAGCACTGAGAAATGGAATTTTGCCACCCCCAAACGAATCTATATAAACTGCTACATCTCTCCAAACACTTTCATTTGGTTTATTTTTTATTTAAGTCAAATTCTTTTGCATACATGTACTGTAGCTGTTTCCCAGAGTGAAACATTGTCATGGTAGACTAGTGACATTGTGTTTATTGTCCGTTGTAAGACCTTAAAGGGCACATTAGGAGCTAATAGAGGCTAGAGATTAGATTATGTACCCATAACATGTTTCATTTGATGGTATTTATATTCAAGACAAGAAGACATGCCTTTGAAACATACTGTGAGTTCTTGAAAATGTGTGTCTGTAGCTATTTGTTGCAAAAGGTAGGACCCCATTATAACATTATTTAATTCTGAAATATAACATTATACCATTATGATATGGATATGAATGTATTTTGTTCACCTTCATTGAATTTAATTAAGAAAGCCACTAAATGTCACTGACTTTGATACATAAACACCATGTACACCATTCTGAACTGTATGACAAAACAGCCATTTTATGTTCAATTTTTTTGCTTAGATTCTATACACAACAGTAAATGATGTAAAGATTCTCATTCCTGGGGAGGTTCTAAAAATAAAAAAAAACTTTTTTTTTTTAGATTAATGAATCAAATCCCGACAGAAACAAAATCATTTTCCCCTCTCTCATTCTCCCCTGAGTCTACCCCTTCCTCTGCAGACCACATGATAATCAGATCCACATAAATCTTTCATTTATTCTCGTCGCAGTTTCCCTCCAGATCTCCAAAGTGGCATTGCTAGCCTCATTTATTCTGGCGGTAAAAAAGTTTTCGCATCGCCATATCCTTGAAATACTGTATAACAAAAGTTGAAGGCTACAGTATGTGCAGGGAGCCAGTGCTGTGTCATCAGTACCTTTGCCGCAGTTAAGCCAGCGAGCCACACTATTCATTGCCATTTCACGCAGTATGAATATCAGGCTCCAATGACAATTGACCTCTGTGCATTCCCAAAACATATGCATAAAAATTCCAGCTGTGTTGAGAGTGCAAATTTTGAATAGAGGGTTGGGGCAATTTTCACAGTATTAACTCTTACAGGGTATCCAGTAGGCTCTGTTGCATAAATTAATTAGTTGAAGGTTACTATTTGTGGGAGCATTAAACAATCTAAAAACACATTCCAAACAATTACCTATTATTCTAAATGTAATTATTTTTCTCAAAGTCTTAGGAGTTTTGGTAGTTTATATAAAACTTTAAGTAGGTGTGAATATATAGTTCAGACAAATTGGGGAAAAAAACTCTCAGAAAAGCAGAAATCTGTAATGTATATCTCTTTTAAGAATATTTGCACTTTTGCTAGACCATTAACTCCAAACATAGGGATGGCTACCAGACTGTAGAGTACAATTATGCTAGACAAATGTTGGTACCATTAAATCTAATACTGTATCTCATGTATTTTTCTATTGCACTACAAATAGTAATTGTGTTTGCAATGTTAGGGCCATGATGACGTATGGTCAGCACACTGTGATGAATCATAATAGAAAGCCTACTAGTCCATCTTAATAATAGTGACTGCCAGTTCCCCAGTCCAATTTTGAACAGTGTTCTGTACTGAGTTAGATCTGAATTTGCTTGCCATTCCATTTCAGGATT